GGACCCTGAATCAGCCTGCGATATTTCCTGATCTTTCTGGGTCTAAAGAAGAGCTTCTAGGAAGTCTACGGCTAAAACAAATCTTCTAACCCCACTCTAGCCTGAGGACCCCAGAGCCATGCTGAGGATGGGAAAACAGACCAAGGGAGTTCATCTCATAGGCAACCTTGGTTTGAGGAAACATTTTAGGAGTAGTCCTTCCTGGATGAGCATGGATGAGCTGATGGACTTCAGTTTCTGGTGTGGGGTCTTGTGATTCGAATTAGGCATTGGCAAGGGCAGGCATCTCCTACGGGGGCTTGTACTGTGTGGGCCAGGGCAGGTGCCCCTTAGGTCCCGCCTGCTCATTTCTGGTTTCGTCTATTCTTAGCCCTTGACACAAGGTGTTGGCTGTGTGCAGGGGGAACACCTATGGTTGTCCGTCTGCTGCCCTCAGGAGCTGCCATTAATAGCCGTCCCATGCTTTGGCTCCAGTACCTACCAGCCACTTCCTGCCAGCCAGTGCAAGGAAAGGTACAGGGAGCAAAAAGGCACAGCTCCTTCCCAGGAGGAGGGGAAGAAGCAGATGGTGCCCGGGAGAGTCAAGTAAGGCAGACAGAACCGGGCAGGCAGAGGAATAAAGCGGCAGGCAGATCAAAACAGTGCCCTTGTCTTTTGATATTTGGCCAGTAGCACAAGATGCAGTGTTTTGAGCGAGAAATAAAACCTTCAAGATAGCTACGGATGGGTGAGATGAGGCTTGTGTTGCCAGTGCAGGAATTTAGATTACACATCTTTTTCCCCAGTGAGGGGCTTCAAAAAAATAAAATCTCTGAGAGGGCAGAGTTGCCTTTTCACTAGTTTGAAATGGGGACAGGCACACATTGATTTAGGATGCTCTGGGGACAGTGCTCTCACAAGCTCAGGGCTCTGCAGCCTGTGATAGGCTAACCACTGCCATTCCCACGTCCGGCTGTGCGTGGGAACGGAATGTTGCTGCTCTGAGTGGTCCGTTTTAGATGAGATAAGGACACAGGCTTCAACCTTGAAGAATTGCCCGTTTTGTTCATTTCAGTCACACCTCGACCTTAAGAAGAGGAGCTGATGCTGGTTTAAATTCATCGCCAGTAGGGTAGCTGTGTGTGCTTCATGAGGCGGGCTGCCTGGCAGACTCTGGTAATAGGGACATGTTTGAGAATGAGGTGAGCATAACTGCTACCTATAAGGCTGATCCAGCCACTCGTCAGGGTCTCTCTCAGACCTCCCTCCCACTCATCAAGGTCCTCCTGGCAGTTTTCCAGTCTACACTGGGAATATCACTTAGTTCTAGGTGAAATTAATGACAGTGAGCTCTCTTCTTTTCAGTCTCCAGATTTAAATCCCCTCCCCCGAGCCAAATCTGGTAGTGTTATGCTAATTTTATTTTTAGTTTGGCAGAGAAATAACAGATTTTAGGTTTTTGATAAGAAAATCAAATGAGTGTACCCAAGGCATGCCCCCTCATTAGGGCTACCACCCAAAGCTGCTCTCATCACACCTAGGAGGCCTGAAGAGCTCACTTTGAATTAGGAGCCACTTTCCTTGGCAAAGAAAATGCCATCATGTGTGACTACCCCTTTTGAAAACCAGGATCAGAAGGGCATGGATGTCGTATGTGGAATACAGCCCCGCCCTGTTCTTTCTTAGGATCTGACATCCCTTCCTCCAGTCCAAAGGCTCTGAGCCTACACCTGCTGTCCTCTTTTTATCTGTTCCAGGAGGAAAGTTTGCTAGGGGCTAGGGCATCAGGGCTTGGGGCTCGTTATAGAGCCCCCACCCCAGGAGCAGGGGGCAGAGTGGGTAAAGGGGAAGTGTGCTTTCTCCATCAGGCATATAAACACCGCAGGGGAGTTTCAGTGGATACAAAGGAGTGAAGCCATGCCTGCTTAGAGGTTCTCCAACAAGATCAGCATCAGAAACCTCTTCTCCTGCCGTGACCATGTGGGAGAGAGTAAAAGTAGAGGGAGAATAGAGAAAATTATGTCATTTGGCTCTTCTAAAAAACCCACAAATTTTTCTCTCCTTAAATAAGGCCCCTGTTGGGACAGGGTCTGATGCCTTTGACATGAGATGCCATATAGCCAATAGTATCACCTTCTTGATCATGATCCAGGCAGATATTTACACTCTTTGAAACCATCCTGGGACTCACAGGTCCCATGAAAGGACAGACTAGGCCATGGGGCCCTACAGTACTGGGTGACTGTGCTCCGGGAGGTTGAATGTGGGGGATCTGGTAGGTGTGAGGAGCCTCTGGGGCCACAAGGAAATGTTGTCTCCCTTGACTGAAATGGGACATGTTGGTAGCATGTACCATTAAGAGAGATGGGGCCTGTTACCATAGCAGCCCAGTTCTCAGCTTCTTTGGACGAGTCTGAGCCTGCAGAGCAAGACGAACCTTTGGGAGACAGTGGAGGAGTGTATTTGAGATACAAGAAACTCTGGGGTGAGTAAGGTCAGTGGGATGAGTTAAACCCTCTTAGTTCCCCTCATAATGGTCTTAAGAGACATGACACTCCCATTTGGCATGTCCCAGGCTTGTGGCAATGAGCTCAGGTGACATGACCTCCATACTACCAGAGGAGTCTGATGTTCCTTTCAATGTAGAGGACAGGAGAAGAGGCAGATCGACGAGGAAGGGAGAAAGAGAGCTGCAGAAATGATGCTACAAAATCAGCCAGCTTTTAGAGATGCTACCACATTTCTGAGAATGAAAAGAAGGGCCATATTTTCTTTGTGGTTGTGGGCATATTTGCTGGGGGGTGGCAGTAGGAGAGGAAGGGGCATAGCTTCCTAGTTTATTCTGTAGCTCCCAGTACAGTGTGCTTATCTCCTACCAGAACCAAATATTGAGAGTTAATTTAATTTCATCAGTTCCTGGGCAAGAAGTTCTTCCAAAGATCTTTTTAAAAAAATATCATAGGTGTCTGTCCCCCCGGGGAGTAACTAAGGTTGTATGAGCAGCGCCTCATCGCCCATAAGGGGTCTGTAAGGGGCTCAGGCAAATGGAAGACTAATGGCAGATTCCCAGTTTTGGGGAGGCCACCACCTCTCGCTTGGGGCAAAGAGCTACCTGCTGCAGAGTGGCCTGGAGGATCTGGGTTTTCAAGACCAAAGTCTTCAGGATAGAAAGACCCACCCCCCAGGGTGAACTCAGAGCACTAAGAGCATGGATTCCCACCCTGCCACCCTGCAGGGGAAGCACACTAGTGGGGGAGGTGATGGCTGGGACCCGTGGAGAGGGTTTCCTGGCGATTGGAAATGTGGGGACTTGCTAGAGGCTAATGATACTGAGAAGACAGATGCAAACTCCCACCTGGACGTTCTCTTTTTGTTTCCCTCCCTCTCTTCTGTGTTTTCTACTTCTTTCCTGACTTTTCTTCCTTCTTCCGTCCCTTTGCAAAACCAGCTTTCCCTGCTGCTGCTCTTAGATGCATATTTTCATTTGCATCGTTAGGAAAGGAGCTGGCATGATGATGGGGGTGGGGAATGACATGCCCTCCTGCCTGAGTCTTGCAGAGGCCCGTCCAACAAAGGTTGAAAGAAAGGATTTCCTAAAGGTCCTGTGATCTCATTTGTTCCCAGTGGCTACAGCCCCAGAGGGTCCTCCCTGAGTTGGAAGTGATCACCCCAACTTTTAGTGCTCCAGGTCAACGAATGTGAGCCATTTTCTCATTTGCATGTAAACATAAACACACACACACACACGCACACGCACACGCACGCACATGCTGGATGTGCAGTAGAAAAATAGAGCTGCAATGTGCTGAAATGAAAGAGAAAGGAAACAAATCCAAGAAGAGACAAACAAGCCAAAGTGGCACAGGTCCCAAAGGGATACACGGGGGACAGCATCAAGGATTGCTCTAGTGATGGACGTCCGCAGGGCTTCAGGCACACGGAGCCCTGGAGCTGAGGCAGACAAGAGCTGGGACCCTAGCAAGCCCGGGGATGGCTCTCTCGCATGGCCTCACCTCCTCCAGCCTCAGCAGAGTAAGCAGCGAGCTAAGTCCTCAGTAGGGAAAAGCACCTCCGGCCAGACTGGAGCTCCCAATGAAACACTGAGTGGCCCGTGGGCCTGTGCCTCAGATGGGCAGCGACAGGCCCACGCGGCTGGTCCTCACCAAGTCCTGGTGTGCTCTGTGCAGCGTGCGTCCTAGTGCGTGGGCCCCGGGACAGGCTCTCTGCACCTTTCTCCCGCCCCTCCTTCCCTCCGGGGAGGACCCTGGGGGCCACCGAGTCAGGGAGGGGGACGGGATGGCACTGCAAAGTTTAGTGCCAATAAAGGAAATCAAAGGGGTCTGGACAAAAAAGGGAGCATCCAGATTTACAACTGAACTGAAATTTAAAACTTGGGTGTTTTTTTTTTTTTGTTTTTTTTTTTATGTCTTTAGATAAACAGTGAAGAGGGTGGGAAGGAGAAGCCTCTTTGAATAATAATTTTTTTTAAAAAAACAACGCAAACATAAAAAAAAACACAATTCCTCAATGTTTAAACTTTTCTTAAGAATAGTCCAATGTGAGGTCTTGCACCTTCAACAGTTATATCTGGAATTTTTTAAAAAATTGCAGCTACACACAACAAAGACTAAGAGTATTTGCTAAAAAATATTGTGTGTGTGTATATATATATATTTATATATATATCTTTTTGTGGAGATTTTTGTTTTTGTGATTTTTTTTCTTTTCCTTTTTTTTTTTTTTTTTTTTTTTGTT